AAATTGCTTTTAAAAGAAGAGGGGATGATGATACACAGCAGTAAACAACCTCTGTCCAAGCTTTTGTGCTTTTGTGCGATGTGTTGCTGCCATCAAATTTAAAATGACCTTTTCATTTATTCAAACATTTCATGTTTTCTATGGTCTACTGTGAAAAAGGTATGACTGTCTGAGATTTGCAAATCATTATTTTTATTTACATTTTATTTACGTTTGCAAGGTGTCCCAACTTTTGGGAGTTGGGTTTCTATTATAAAACTTGTTTACTAAATAAAAACATGTAAATAACACTTGATTGGTTTACCAATACGAGTGAGGAGTTTCCCCCATCTTGTAAAATAACACTAATTCAGGAATAATCAGGGTTTAAATGATACAATTTGGCAGTGTTTTCACCAAATACATGAGAATACCAAGCAGGTAGTTGGCATGTGACTGTACTTTTCAAATGTTTGAATAGAAAAAGTTGTTTTAATTATATTTGTAAAAACATAAAGGTAGTTAATTAATCACCAGCAGGTTTTTGTGTTGTTTTTGTATTCTTGATTACACAGATATTACAAATATTTTGAAATGAATTTAATAGTTTTTGTCGGCTGTATGTGTTTCCAGTTCCTGCAGTGGAAGGAAGTTCACATGTACCAACAAGACGTGTGACGCTGTTTGTGGAATCTATGGAGATGGTCACTACGTCACCTTTGATGATAAGAGGTTCGACTTCAGTGGACAGTGTGAATACACACTTCTACAAGTAGGTTGCTAAAAGTTAAAAATGGAAACTTTGTAGCCTTGGTAGATTTGGCAACACATTGTTGTGCCATCTTTCTTCTGCAGCTCTTCATTGTAAAGCTCACTGTGGCTGCTGCTTCATGTATATTATTTTACCAGAACAGAAAGAGGCAGATCAACATTTTTATCAGTAAATCGATTTTATGCAACTCTTAAGGATTCTAACTTTAACACTGGTATCCAGTAACTGCATGCACTGTGCTTTGCTCAGGACTTCTGTGGCACCTACAATGGCAACGGAAGCTTCAGAATTATTACTGAAAATGTTCCATGTGGAACAACAGGAACCACCTGTTCTAAGACCATCAAGATCTTCTCGGGGGTAAACACAAAATCCTTCAGCTGTGCACATTTTCAAAATAATGACTGAAAAATGTAGATGCAGAGTTCTTAAAATGTTTTAACTCTTCACCAACAATATTAAAATTGCACAATTAATACTAGAAAAAGAAACTACAACTTAAATTAGATAAAAGAATCGATTAAAGGTTGTATAATTTAACTGAACAACTCAGCCATGTTTTGCCATGTAATCAGTTTTTCGATTCAATATTTTGAAATCTTTTCAAAAAAACAAAAGAGCTTTCAGCTTTTCAGGTTTGTTGCACATATATGGTTTAAATTCTACAAAAATAAAATTCCTGTTTTATTCATTGCTGTTGTAACCCACAGGATAATGAATTCCAGCTTAAAGATGACAATTTACAAGTGGTAAAGGGCACTATCCAGGCGCTTCAGGTACAGAAAATGGGCATTTACACCGTGGTGACAATCAAGCCTGGTCTTATTCTCATGTGGGACCAGAAGACCAGTCTTTTCATCACAATCAGTCCACAGTTCCAGGTAAAAGAAATCAATTCTGCACATCTGGATTGACAGTTACTGCTTTTTACTGTTGAAGTATAATTGCTTAAGAAAGTTAATATTAAGAATTTCACAATAACAGACATTTAGTAGTCAGTACAAATACAAATACAATTACACAATTATTGATCCTCCGTATTAATAAAAACGAGGGCTTTAATCTGTACCTCTGCTTCCTTTCCTCTTAGGGTCAGGTCTGTGGTCTGTGTGGAAACTATGATGGTAACAGTAAGAATGACTTCACCACACGCTCCCAGGAAATAGTTGCAGATGTTCTACAGTTTGGTAACAGCTGGAAAGTTTCATCTAGCTGCCCCAGTGCAGAGCTGATCAGTGATCCCTGTGCCTCAAATAGCTACCGGGCAGCCTGGTCTCAAAAACAGTGCAGTATCATCACAAGTGTCACCTTCCAGAGCTGTCATTCAAAGGTCAGTGTGTTTGGTGGTAGCAAATATACAGAAATGGATACACACACACAAAAATGCACAAATGTATATGCACTTTAATTTCCCCTATGAGCTCTTTGTTCTTTTATCTTAATGTCTGGCATTTAGGATTCTTTACCTAATAGACACGATATGTGATATCCATCCACCCATGCATTCTCTTCCACTTATCTATTCAAGGTCGTGGGGGGCCTGGAGCCTACCCCACCTACCATAGGGCAAGAGGCAAGGTAAAGCCTGGACAGGTTGCCAGTACAGCGACAGACAGTCATTCGCACTCAAACTTACCCCAATGGACAATTTAGAATGACCAGTTAACCTAATCCCACTAATTACATGTCTTTAGACTGTGGGAATAATCCAGAGTAGTGGGCGATAACTTAAACCTGCGTATGTCTACATAAAGGTAGTGTTGGAGCACATTGTGGTACCACACCCTCAGGATTTGGGCAGAAAGTTGTGTGTTGCTATAAAAATGGTGAGAAAAGGTGTAAATCTTTCCTTCAAAGAAATTGCAAAGAAAGATGTCAAGTGTCCTTCACCTTCAAAAGGCAATTAGAAACAGGGGAAAAGTCTACTGGACCCAAAGCCTCAACAGAGTCAGAAGACAAGTTTCTGAGCTACAAGCAGAGCTTAACTGTGGTCATAGCACAGAACCATTGCTAAGATGTCAGAATAAGAAAAAGAGGTTTAAAGAGGTTTGAGCTATGAAACATTGCCAATGTACTAATGAAAACTGGAAGAAGGTGTTCTGGAGTAATGAATCAAAATCCGAAGTCTATGATCTTTGTACAGTAGTGAGAAGGCAAAAGGACAGTTCCTCAATCTGTACCCATGAATACATTGTGGTTAAAAATGGATTGCATGATTCTTTTTTAACTTCAATTGTTTATTTGTTCAATGCTTACAGAGCAAAAGGAATAACTGAACTGCCTGAATTTCAATAAAAAACCTGGAAGAATTGAGGTTCTGTGAAACTGTTGACTGGTAGTGTAATACTGTATGTGTTCTAGGTTGACCCTGGTCCATATTTTGATTCCTGTGTGAGAGACTCCTGTGCTTGTGACACTGGTGGGGACTGCGAATGTCTCTGTACTGCGGTGGCTGCATATGCTAAAGCCTGTAATGAAGCTGGGACCTGCATCGCATGGAGGACTCCGAAGTTTTGTCGTAAGTCTGATTAATGTAATTCAATTCAATTTTATTTATACAGCGCCAAATCACAACAACAGTCGGCGCTTCATATTGTACAGTAGATCATACAATAATAGATACAGAGAAAACCCAACAATCATATGACCCCCTATGAGCAAGAACTTTGGTGACAGTGGGAAGGAAAAACATCATTTTTTAAAATGCTGTACAAGTCTAATAAGCAATGGTTTTGTTTCTTGCAGCTATTTTCTGTGACTACTATAATTCACCTGGTGAATGTGAGTGGCACTATAAGCCTTGTGGAGCTAATTGCATGAAAACATGTAGGAATCCATCTGGAAACTGCTCGTCACTCATCACCAACCTGGAAGGTACATCAGGCACAGTATTGATATGCCACTTTGTGGACTATTTATTTTTGTTTTAAATGTGGAGCTTAAGTCAACAGAACAACAGACAGTGGTTCACAAGCTTTTTCCATCATTCCCCACATGGCAGGAAGCAATATTTTCACGCCCCATCTAAACAAAACAATGACAGAAAAGCCTACCTGCAACTGTATTTAGATAATGAACTCATTCACAATGAATCCTTCAGTAATTTTTGTTTTAAACAAGCAACTTTCATTTCAAACAACTATTTGTAACTTTTGTCATGAGACAGCTTCCTTAGTCTACACCACTTCTTCAAAAAAGCAACAAGTTAAACAGAATGTGAACATTGCCAAATTGTGAAATGTTTACCAAAAAGCTTTACATGTATTCTACTTGTAAATTTACTCAAGTTAATCACTATTTTAAAACATCGTAGGCTGCTATCCACAGTGTCCCCCAAACCAACCCTACTTTGATGAAGACACTATGAAGTGCGT